TGTAATATTATACGTCTATAAAAATGATATATATAATATACAAATGTATGTTGTAGTTAAGTGACTTGAGTTGGTACTGATTCATAGTGACACCATATAGAATTTAAATGCTCTATAGGCTGTCAGTCTTTTTGAGAACATGAAACCTCATATTTCTCTGACATATTGGCTGGTCAGTTCTACCTATCTTGAGTACCTCCAGTCTGACAAATAGATAAATACATTTATTTATGAACTTTGAAAAAAATGCCTTTCTGTACAAGAGTGAATTACAATTTAGGTAGAAAACTGTTGTTGTTGTTAAGTGCCGTTGAGTCGGTTCCGACCCATAGTGACCCTGAACAGGGTTTCCAAGGCTGTAAATCTTTATAGGAGCAGAAAGCCTCATATTTCTCCCGCAGAGCAGCTGGGAGTTTCGAACTGCGTATCTTGCGGTTCGCAGCCTGATTTGTAACCACTATGCTACCGGAACTGTATAGAATATTAAATTTAATATATGGTTACTTTAGACAATTAAATTTGGTAAAGTGTTAGAATATCTAAGTAAAATGGAATGAAAACAGAGGAATAGAATTTATAATACAGATGAAGAAAACAAAAATAATGTTTTAGGAAAAAAAATATATATATCCTGTTGTGTATCCTTATGTCGAGTAGCAATATTAAACACTGAGAAACATATATGTATGTATTTATACATACCTATGTACCTGTCCAATATCTACCTCCTTATCATCTCTATGTCTATCCATTCATCCATACAAGTTTAAATAATATAAAAAATGAACATGTAAATTGAAAACTACATACCTCAAAGCTTGTGAGATTGCCAGGGGAAGGATTAGGGAAGCACAGAAGTAGAAAGAAGAAATTCTGGAATAAGACATTTAATTAATTTTAAGCAACAATCTGAAAACCTCAGAAAATAGGAGATACATTTCAGCTGGTAATTCCTTATGCTTCCAGAGCTACTGTAAGAAAAAGGATCATAACATAAAATATAGAAAGATTTATTTGTAAGAAAAACATGTAAAATAAAATGTAAATATAGATCACCTTAATTGATATAAAAATTACAAAGCAAAATAGAGCTAAATTGTAAAATGGGCACAATGAATATTCCATGGTTTTTCCTTCACTTAATATAAAATATAAATTATGATTCAGTTCACTGATCCACAGGGCCCTGATTTATGCAAATCTGATGATAGGAAGAAGCATTAAAAACAGTCTGTTTATATGTTGCAGCTCATGATAAATTTAGACACAGAAAAATAAAACTTAATAATATAGAGTACATATGAACAATGAATGATTTTATTTTTCATGGAAGAATATTTATTAATAAACTTATTTTAATTGCTTAATGGTGTTGAATATAATATATAGGAACACATAGAGTTCTCGATCCTGTAGTCATATCACATATAAATATATATATATGTATAAATTTTTGTTTTATTTATTTTAAGACAGAATTTCTACAAAGAATGAACAATATGTCAATGGTGACAGAATTTATTCTTATGGGTTTTGCTGGACCATGGAAGCTTCAGATTTTACAAGATGGGATATTCTTAGCAATATACGTTACAGCCCTGTTGGGAAATGGTCTCATTATTACCATAATATCTTTGGACCCATGCCTCCACACACCAATGTACTTCTTCATAAGGAATCTCTCCCTCTTTGATATTTGCCTCATTTCTGCTGTTGTACCCAAAACCATTGTTAACTCCTTGACACATAGCAACCATATTTCTTTCCGTGGCTGTGTCATCCAGGTCTTTCTGGTGGCATTTTCAGCAGCCACAGAGCTGCTCCTCCTTACAGTGATGTGCATTGACCGTTATGCTGCCATCTGTCACCCTCTACACTATGATATTATCATGAACAGGGGCACTTGTGTGAAAATGGCATTTTTCTCTTGTCTCAGTGGTGGTTTGTTGTCTATGATACACACAGGACTTACCTTTAATTTATCTTATTGTGAAATCATTGAAATTCAGCAATTCTTCTGTGACATTCCCCAGTTGTTAGTTATTTCTTGCTCAGAACATATTACTTCAGAGATTGTGTTTATTTTCATCAGTTCAGTACTAGATTTCTGCTGCTTTATTTGCATCATCATCTCCTATGCCTACATATTCTCTACTGTAAGGAAAATTCCATCCACAGAAGGAAAGTCAAAAGCTTACTCCACTTGTATTCCACACCTAGTAGTGATTATACTGTTTTTATCAACTGCCATAAGTGCATATCTAAAACCTATTTTAGCATCTGCATCCTTCACTGATCTCATTCTATCTGCATTCTATATTATGTTGCCCCCTTCACTTAATCCAATCATATATGGCCTGAGAAACAAGGCCATGAAGGTTGGTTTAGAAAAGTTGATTACAAAATTCTTTTCTAAGGAGAATGTATTTATTTTCCTTCAAATGTAGAGGTATCTCACTACTTATTTTCTTGTATTAGTACAGATTTAATCCAAACTATATTGTGTGTATCTCAGGAGATACCTGGAACTGATGCTGCTGAATCTAAACCTAACTAAATTAAAATGTAACCAAGATCAATGAAACTGTGTTTGGGTCTGTCACTTTACAGCTTCTAAATGTTGCTATATAAAAATGCATATGCATGTTTATTCTCTCCTTGATATTAGGCTGTTTTGAATTCTGTTTATTGAGCCTGCTCATATGTCCTGTTTTATGCGACTTTACTACCCATTACCCACATCTTACTCTCATGGAGTGGCTGTTTGGTTTGAACCACCAAACTTTTGGTTAACAGTCCAATGCTTAACCCACAGCACCACAAAATATTGTGGCTTCCCTAAAGCCAACAATCATATAGATGCTTTAGTTTGTAATTCTGAGAACAAACATGTTCTATATGATTGAGAAGGGATTCTGGATGCTAGATATCCTGTACCTCACTAATGGCTTATGGAGCATTTTGGCTCTTACAGTGTAAAATTCACTGCAAGAAATATTTCTAGACTGCATATTGATAGTCTTGTTCATACTTTCTATTATCTGAATCTGTACAACTGACGTACAATTTGATAAGACATTTATTTTTATCTAAGCAAAATATTCATAAGTGATTTGGAGAACTAAGATGATAGGCAACACTTAATGGTCTACACAGTATATTTAAAGCATATGTTGTTATGTGCTGTGGAGTCGGTTCCAACTCATAGCGACCCCGCACAGGGTTTCTGAGGCTGTAAATCTTTACAGGAGCAGAAAACCTCATCTTTCTCCCATGGAACAGCTGGTAGTTTCAAACTGCTAACCGTGAGATTAGCAGCCCGATTCCTAACCACTACGCTACCAGAGCTCCTTTAAAGAATATATATTAATGCAATTGAAAATTTTATATCTGAACATATGCACATTTTTCTTCAAATTGGTAGAAATATTTTCTTTTGATGCCTAAAATAATGCTTAAATTTTAATATGAATGCATGTCACCTACGAGTCTACTGGGATATAGCATGATTTAGACAAAAATGTGGAATGAAAAATTAGAAAGAACATGACTTAAGCAATTATTTAATCAATATGCACTACTAATATTTATGTCATGGTGACTCAGTGATGTTCCAACACATACTAAAATATTTATTATAATAAGTTAATATAATACTAAGTATACACTCAATATTGTCATTATTCAAATTTATGTAATCACAATTAAATGTCTTTTTTTTTAATGTTTATATTGTTTAATATTTTTGTCTATTTGTATGGTGTCCATGGGTAGCACAATTATTTGAGCACTTTACTGCTAATTAAAAACTTGGTGGCACCTTTGAAACCATATTGAGAAGTTCTAGTATGACACTGTAGTGTAAGCACTAGATGACAAGATTATTTTGTACTACAAGTTGGGTGTTTCAAGTTCATCAGCTGGGCCTTGGAAATCCTATGAAGGGTTGATATGAGTCAGAAACCATTTAGTGGTCCTTAAAAACAATGACAACATACTTATAAAAAAAATCAATAAAATTACCATGAACAATATATTCACCATGTTTGATATTAATTTGTTGGTAGATTTTGTTGTTGTTGTTTTTATTTGTCTCACGATGGCCATGGGATACACATTCATGAAGCTCAACAAACACCACGAAGAATATACACCAAGAGAAAATCGCCTAGACGTATCATAATCAAGCTCTCCAAAATCAAAGATAAAAAGACAATCTTGAAAGCAGCTAGGGTAAAGAGAAGTGTTGCATACAACAGCAAATAAATCATATTAAGCTTAGATCTATCAACAAAAAACCACACAGGCAAGAAGGCAATGTGAGACATATATACAATCCTGAAAGAAAAAAAGCTGCCAACTAAGAATCTTCCACCAGCAAAGCTGTCAATCAAATACGATGGTGTAATCAAAACATTCCAGGATAAACAGAACATGAGGGATTTTGCCAAAGCCAACAATTCATTGCAAAACATCCTAAAGAGAGTTCTGTGTACTGAGAACCAAAAATAACACACAACAATCAGAGATTGACATATGTGGCAGCACCACTCAGAATTCCATTGACAAATGGAAGAGTCAAGAACAGAACAAAACTATAAGAACAAATACAGAGGGCATGTGAGGTCAATTTATGATAAAACAATTACAATGTAAAAAAAGGTAAACACATAAAAGCAGAGATAGAGATGGTGAGAAGATCAGGTAGATTACAGAATGAAACCGACTGTATTAAATGGAGGGGAAAGTTAATAGAATATAAGGAAACCTCATGAAAATTACTACTTCACTACATGCCAAGAAAATGAAATCCAAAAAGAACATGGAAACATTAAAACTATGAAGAAAGTGACAAGAAAGGACACAAAAACATGAACTCAGCACAGGAAGACATGCAGAACAAAGAAAACAGCAGCACCATACACACACACACAAAAATATAAAATCATAATGACAGCAATTAATCCATACATATCGATAAATACACTCAAGGTAAATGCATTAAATACACCAGTTAAGAGACAGAGAGTGTCAAAATGGATAAGAAAACAATATCCTTCAATATGCTGTCTGAAAGAAACACACCTTACACACAAAGGGAAAAAAAAAAAAAAAGACTAAAAGTCAAAGGATGGAAAAAACATACCAAGCTAATTACAATAAAAAATGAGCATGAGTGGCAAGACTAATCTCTGATAAGATAAACTTTAAGGCAAAAAACAGCAGAGTAGATAAAGATGGACGTTATCTCATCATTAAACGGACAATTAAACAAGAAGACAAAATCATAATAAATATCTATGCTTTCAATGAAAGAGCTCAAAAATATATAAAGCAAACTCTAATATATTTGAAGGAAGAAATAGACAAATATACAACAATGGTAGAGGATTTTAATACACCACTTTGAAAATGGATAGAACAACAAAAAGAAGCTAGACAAAAACACAGAGGAACTAAACAACATAATCAGCTAACTGGACCTCATAGATATATACAGGGCATTCAACCCAGCAACAGAACAATATGCATTCTTTCCTGGTAAACATGGAACATTCTCCAGAATAGACCATTTTTTTAGGCCACAAATTTACAAACAACAAAATACTATAAAGCATCTTCTCAGACCACAATGCTATAAAATTAGAAATCAACAATAGGAAGACAAAGGAAATAAAGTCTAACACATAGAAATTAAATAACACCCTACTGAAAAGCGATTGGGTAGTAGTAGAAATAAAACCTGAATTCACAAAGTTCCTAGAAAAAAAAATGATACTGAAACACAATATACCATGATCGTTGTGACATGGCAAATGCAATGATGAAAGGACAGTTTATTGTAATAAATGCACACATCCAAAAAGAAGAACAAACCAAATCAACACATTAACACAACATCTCCAACAATTAGAAACAGATCAGCAAAGTAAACCTACAGTCAACAGAAGAAAGGAAATAAAGATTAGGGCAGAAATAAATGAGGTAGAAAACAGAAAAACTATTGAAAAAAATCAACAGGACGAGAAACTGGTGCTTTTAAAGAATTAATAAAATAGACAAACCACTGGCAAACCTAACAAAAGAAAATAGGGACATTACACAAAAAAACATGCATAAGAAATCACATGGGTGATGTCACAACAGAGCCAATAGAAATAAAAAGAATAATAACAGAATGTTGTGAAGAGTTACACTCTTAATAAATTTGAAAACCCAGAGGAGATGAATACATTTTTAGAAAAGCACGACCTACCTAAATTTACACAGACAGAAGTAGAAAACTTAAACAGATGTATAACGAAGGAAGAAATTGGCCAGGTCACCAGATAACTCCTAACCAAGAAAAAAAGAGTCCAGGTCCAGATGGCATCACTGGTGAGTTCTACCCTACCAAACATACAGGAAATGCTGTCACCAATTCTACTCAAATTATTCCAGAATACAGAACAGGATGGAAAACTACCTAATATAGTCTATGAAGCAAGCATAACCCTCATATTAAAACAATGGAAGTATGTCACTAAGAAAGAAAATTATAGAGCAATATCCCTCATGAACATAGATGCAAAAATTTCAACAAAATCCTAGCCAATAGAATTCAACAACACATAAAAAAATAATACATCATGACCAAGTGGGATTTATACCAGGGATGCAAGGATGGTTTCATATCAGAAAAACAATTAATGTAATCCACCATATAAGACAAAGGAAAAGAACCATATGAGCATATCAATTGTTGCAGAAAAGGCATTTGTCAAAATCCAAAATCCATTTCTGATAAAAACACTGAACAAATTAGGCATTGATAGGAAATTCTTCAATATAATTAAGTGCATATATACAAAACCAACAGCTAACGTCACTCTTAAGGAGCTCTGGTAGCGTAGTGGTTACGAATCGGGCTGTGAACCTTAAGGTCAGCGGTTAGAAACTACCAGCCACTTCGCGTAAAGATTTTCTACTCCCGTAAAGATTTACACCCTCGGAAACCCTGTACAGGATCGCTAGGGGTTGGAACCGACTCGATGGCACTTAACAACTTAACAACAACGTCACTCTTAATACAGAGAAACTGAAATTTTTCCCTTTGCGAACAGTACCAGACAAGGAGTCCCAGTATCACCACTCCTATTCATATTGTTTTGGAAGTCTTAGCCAGAGCTATAAGGCAATATAGGGAAATTCAAGGCATCCAAATTGGCAAAGAGTAAGTAAAACTCTATCTACTTGCAGATTATATGATCCAATGTATAGAAAGCAAATGGAATAAATGAGGAGGTCCAAGAGCTGAACAGAAAATTTCAAAGATCAGCTCAAGAAGATAAAGCCAAATATTATAATCAAATGTGCAAAGATTTGGAATCAGAAAACCAAAAAGAAAGAATAGGCTTAGCATTTCTCAAACAGGGGGGAATGAAGAAAAAATTCAAGCCTCGAATTT